CCCCAAAGAGTTTTCTATGGCAGGGGACAAGGCTGACCTGTAGCCAACGATCGCTGCGTAGGACAGACCCACTTCGTCAAACAAGTGGTACAAAGAAGTCTGCTACCTGGCCAATAGAGGGATGGCATGGATCAATCTCCCTTCCACTACACCAACCGGTGTATGCTCGCCACTTCAAGTCGTAGGCAGAGTTGGTGGAATCCCTGTTCGCCCTGGCCAGGACGTTGGCAGCCCGCTTAGATAGACCTTTCGTCTGCGCGAGTCTACTGAGAGTCTTCATGCGTGTAAGTGGTACACTGCTGGGCTTGTTGGTAGTGTGCCGTCTGGCTGGGACAGCAAGTCCGGTATGTCCGGCAGTACTACCGGTGTTTCGACTATCATTTCCAGCAGGAGCGGAAACCAGGCCTTGGTCGGCCAATTGGGCGCCACCATGTTAATATGCAGGTGGGCTCTTGTCGAAGTTTCTCCAGTACTCGGTGAATTAGCGGGAAGGGAGGAAAGGCGTACGCATCCATGTGGGACCAGGGGATCGATAAGACTTCCACGGCTCATGCTCCTGGTGTCGGCAGGAGTGTTACATACGTCGGGAGCTTGGCGTTCCGGGGTGCAGCGAACAGGTCTATCTTTGGACCGTCCCACAGCAGAAACAGTCTGGAGGCTACCAACTGGGGGATCTGCCACTCCGTGTTCTGGAGATGGAGGTGCCTCGAAAGGGCGTCTGCCAGACCGTTTCTCACCCCTGGAAGGTGGTGTGCGGTTAGCTCCACATTCCAGGCACCAAAGGAGATTTTGCTCTGCTAGGACCGACAACGATGGGGAACACGTCCCCCCCCCTCCTTGTTGATGTAGGAGACCACCGCTGTGTTGTTTGTGCGGAGCAGGACTCTGTGGTCTCAAACTTCGGGTCGAAAGTGTGAAAGTGCTAGGTGCACTGTTTTGAGCTCAAGCCAGTTGATATGGTGGTCCCGAACCCATTGCGGGGGCCATATTCCTTGGGCTTGTTTGTCCAATAGATGCGCTCCCCACCCTTGGAGGGAGGCGTCTGTTACCAGAGTCATGGTTGTGACAAGTGGGTCCAAGGGGACCCCCTGTCTGAGGTTGGTCAGTTACGACCACCAGGACAGGGTTTCCTTTACTTGGTCCGGGATCAATACCCGCCTGTTTAGTTTCCGTAGGTGAGCTCGGTATTCCAA